TCATGTTTTATTACAGTAGATTATTCATTCTCTATTCTTCATTGTATAATAGTAAGTAATACTTTCAATTTTTGAAATGTTTAAAAAAATCACATATCAATTGTCATTTCTGTTGTTTAACATTTTAAAATCTTTAATTCATCAATCAATGCTGGTTCTGTGGATTGTTAATTTGCATCTTTAGATGTGATAGTATATTATCAAATGTTAATGATGTTGCTTCTTCACATCTTTTATATACTGATACAAAATTCAACCACTTCTGTTTAATATGAGTATTAAAGTAGCATTTGATGTTGTTTATCTTGCATTCTTTTTTTTGATAATATCAATGGTGGTATGTAAAGAGAGTCAACATGCAATCTTTATAGTTCTTAAATTCTAATATATTCTTTCCTCAATAATAATTCTTAATCTTCAATTTCAATAATATTTTGTTATTATCATTCATATTATTTGTGAATTGATTTTGCAGTGGTTCTGCAGCAATATTCTGAGTTGATCAAAACTTGATAAAAGTATCTTCATAAATCTATACTTTCAATTTGTTGAAATGTTATTGCATGTGCAGAATAGCTAGCTGTTGCTTTCATTTATGAATTTGATTATTTAATTATGACAATCAGACATTGTGATCATTGAAAATGGTAGAGGATTCAGATTGATTCTCAAGAAATCTTGTGTGTATTGAAACCATCTTGTGTGTTTTAACTAATATTGTGTGCTTTGTTGTAGGTGTGTGTGTAACAACAGATCACTCAAATAAAGTTTAGAGTGATTAGAATTGTAAGAGATGAGCTATAAGAGTAATTACAAGAGTAGTGTGAAGTACATATAAAGAATATTAAGAAGGTAGCAATCTCTATTATTCAAAGCTAATCACTGATCTCCTAAGATCTCAGATATCAACGAGCATTATATAGACAATGTTGCCACCACACTACAATTGTTCCATGCCTTTCTTTCGCCACGTATCTATCGCCATGTATCTATTTTCTAATATAGATAGATATCTCCGCTGCGCCTATTACAGAATCAAAAAATATATGTTGTTTACAAATTCTCACAATATGATTTCTTTCAAATTTGATGAATGCATACACTCTTTTTTCTCACAGATGATAAACACTGTAATTTATGAAAAAATCAACACAAACAATGAGAAGATTTATGAAAACACTTTTAATAATTGTCAAGATCACAGAAGAGTCATTTCTCTGCTGTAATCAATGCAATTTTATACAAAGATATTTTTCTGAAGTGAATATGATTTAAAGAGAATCACATGACATTTGAAGTTTGTTGATTGTTTACAGTTCAAAGAAAAGCATCACAATATTCACATTGAACTGATATTTATATTATCTACTCTCATTAATGATAATGATATTTGATAATGCTCATGTAATATTTTGCAGAAAACTATGCAAAAATGGCAATGAATTGATTCTGATCTTTCAATTTCAACATTATCTTCAGAAAACTTCTGTGAACAACTTCTTCATTTATATATATCTCTGAATCTTTCAGTTTGAGCCATTGAAAACTCAGAATTTCGCATTCTGCTTCAAATGCTTAATTCAAATATTCAAATTCCTCATTGATTCAATCTTAGATCTGCTCTTGATACTCATTACAATAATGATATGCAATAATTTAAACTTCTGTTGAAGAAACAACAAAAGATATCACTGACAATTGATGTATGAATAAGTATAAATAATCTTGCATTTTTGAGAGCTGTTTGTTATTTTATTGATGAGGATTGGAATTATAAAAAGAAGTTAATTGACTTTGAACCATTGCAGAGGAGTCATACAGATGAGTATATGGCTAAGATTCTGATGACAATCATTAAAAATGATTACTGATATATTTCATCAGCTCTTTCTGTCATCACAACAGACAACGCAGTCAACAACTTGATCATGATGCAAAGTCTGGAATGAAAACTGATATTGTATAAATGGAATGGTAAACGTGGACATGTTCTCTGTGTTGCTCATGTTATATAGCTTGTTGTGCAAGCATTGATCAAAGCTTTGAATATTGAATCTGAAAACTCAGAACTGGCTAGTTGTTTCAATGAGAATGATGTTGAAATTGATACTCAAGTCACATTCTTATCAACACTTCGCAAGGTAACGATATTTGGTAATGCTTCAGTGAAAATTGATCAATTTTCTAACTATCTTATTATTCTTTTTAGATATGACATATTGCCAATCCAAATCATCACCATCATCTCTATCATGCAGGTCACCATCGCCGAGACCTTAAAAATCTTCAAAATCTTCAAAATCATCCACATTCGCCCCGTCGATGCTTCGCTTGCTCGGCCTGCCCTTGGTGATCTGATAGGCGCGGATGGTTTTGGATTTCTTCCAAGAGCGCCGCTTCCCCTTGTCTGAAAGCCAGGCGTTGTTGTATTCACACCCTCTTCCGCTGTAGAAATACACCCCATTGGGATCTGGCGCCCAGCTCGTCGCGTGATTGAAGCTGATGCTCTCGGCGGAGAAGGCCTTGTTGAGGTTGATGCACTTCCCGCTCGTGAAGTCTCTACCGTGCATTTTGAGTTTTTTGCCGCCGCTGGACTTGAGCTGGATGCTCCAAGCGTCCGCGGTGGATGCGACGGCGAGAAGGAGCCCGGTGGCGATGATAGAGATCTTCATTGTTGCCGGGCTATAGATCTATCTATCTGTATACGGTTCCGGGTGGTGATTGTCTTCTTTCGCAAGGAGGTTAGCTGAGAGCTTGAGCAAACAATGTCAGAAAGGGGGTATTTACTTAGTGACTGCCCCCTTATCGCTTTAGCCTCCCTATGGAAAAGGATAGGATAAGCTA